ATTAGTCTAAACAGTCCACAGTGAATACATCATTGCTCTGTTATTCTTACGGTCTTGTACATTTCCTGACTTGGTGTTTTGAATACAAGTTGAGTGAACGTTGGGGTCTAGCTCAATTGTCTAGATTGCCCTGGTCTAAAACATTACTCCCAGCTTCCTCCTCTTTCTCTAAACATACCAGCCTTTTCTTCCTGTCATTTTCTGAATTAAATTTTAGTGAATTCTTCTTGGGAAGCACTTTATTATATTAAATAGAGTATAGCAAAGTAATATAAATAATGATGAACAAAAGGAAAGGCATCTTCCTTAATTTTTGAAAGAGGAAATATGAAGAACTTTAAATGATAATTTGATTTTTCTAAAAAGAGATTGCTTTTGTATTTCCCATTAAGCCTTCTAATTAATTTAGTAAAAGATTCTTGTAAACCCTAGACACAGAACTTTTGGCAGTCTAAAAACTATCTCTTTCTTCCCATTGGAAATATAATTCAATTAGTTTATGTAATGCTTTCTAATAAATCATTCTAAATATACCTCGCCTTAGGGCTAAGAGGGAAACAGGTTTCCACGCCATTCCCTGTGGAATCCTACATCCATAAAAATAACTGCAGTACCTGCCCCAAGTCGAAGTGCCTTTGGTTGTCCTTAAGGAGTTCACATTTTCAGCAAAAGTAGAACAAATACCAGAATGGTATTCATTTATAAAAAAAACATACATTTAACTCTATCACTTAGGCGAATGTAAAAGATCACCATCTGGGTTGCAAGCATAACTTGAGTTTTATACTCAAGTGCACAGCCAATTTCTTATTGAAAATGACACTAATTAAACTCTCTGGTGATTTTGACAAACCTTTAATTTTCCATTTGATGCATGATATGAATGCAAGGGCTCCCACATTAGCCTTGTCAGTTTGAGCTTCTATTGTTACATTAACACTTCTTAAAAGTCACTAAATGTTTAGAAGCATTAGTGTCAACTAATGATAGTTCTAGAAAATATTACTTTTCAGGGTAAAATGTTAAAAAAACTATCTCATGTTTGTATAGGTAATTACCTTTGAAGATGTACTAACTTGAGAACCCACAGTGCAAATGAATCATATTTGTATATATTCACTAACAAATTCTGTGTGGACAACATATTCAGAATACATTTTTAAAGTTTTACTAATGATGTCATAAAGTTCTATAAATTATTTCTCAGAACTATAGGTGCAAATCTTTTCAGAGTTATCATTACATTGTAAACAGTTGTCATATCATGTTCAAGGCAACATGTTCTGTGCTTTCCAGAACACCAGCAAGTATATAATATCTAAAATATGAACTTAAGAAGTATATAGTATGATTTAGTAAACATTAACTATACTGAAAATCTCATTTTCTATCCTAAGCAAGTTCCAAATGACTGAAATAGAGGCTGACAAGGCCTTTGACCTTCAGAGTGTAAAGGAAAGAACATACTATTTACTGAACAGTTATTATGTCCCAGGAACAGGGCTAATTGCTTTATAGTCATTTTATTTAATTATCATAGGAATTTTTATGAGATAGGTGAGATTATTGCTATTTCATGCATAAACGAAACTACAATAAATTGAATACATTTGTTGATTGAGTAAAAGTAGGAGAAGTATACAAATATGCTAAAGATTGAAAAGGAAGAGACAGATATCATCCAGGTTCCTCTGACTCCATGACACCTCTCTGCTTCTGGGATGATAGGCATCAGAAATACTGGACATAAATTTGGATACATGCATAGGAATACTGGATAATTAAAAGAGTATGATTTCATGCACATTAAGACTTCTGGATCAAGATGGCAATATATGAGGCTCTGCATTTTGCTCCTGCCACAGATGCACAGCTATGCACAGAACAATTCTTCCTCAGAGAAATCCAGAAACTAGCTGGATAACTACTACACATCGGTAACTGAGAAAATATACACGTTGAAATGGATAGAAAAGGCTGAGACACACCCTCACCATAAACTCCAGACCTGGCATAACAACATACAAAACGAGGGGACCCCTAACTCCCAGCTTCTCCCTGAGGAATGATTGGTTTGGACACCACAATTAGTATTCCAAAATTTTTTTTTTTATTTTTTTTTGCGGTACGTGGGCCTCTCACTGTTGTGGCCTCTCCCACTGCAGAGCACAGGCTCTGGACGCGCAGGCTCAGCGGCCATGGCTCACGGGCCCAGCCACTCCGCGGCATGTGGGATATTCCCGGACCGGGGCATGAATCCATGCCCCCTGCATCAGCAGGCGGGCTCTCAACCACTGCGCCACCAGGGAAGCCCCAATATTCCAAAATTTTAAGTGTAAAAATATAGAACTTTTATATGCATTCAAAGTTAATTTGTTAGCATCTTAAAATAGACAAAGTTTTTAAAAAGTGTGCTTCTATACACTAGCTACAAAGTATTAGAAGAGAAATTAAGAAAACAATCCCATTTACAATAGAATCAAAAAGAATAATATACTTAGGAATAAATTTAACAAAGTTGATGAAAGATCTGTGCACTGAAAACTGTAAAATGTTGATGCAAGAAATTGAAGACATACAAAAAAATGGAAAGATATTCCCTGTTTATGGATTGGAAGAATTGGTATTGCTAAAATGTTCATATTACCCAAAGCAATCTACAGATTATATGCAACACTTATCAAAATGCCCAAGGCATTTTTCAGAGAAATAGAACAAATAATCCTAATATCCATATGGAACCACAAAAGACTCCAAATAGCCAAAGCAATCTTGAGAAGAGAGAACAAAGCTGGAAGCATCACACTTCCTGATTTCAAACTATATTACAAAGGTATAGTAATCAAAACAGTATGGTATTGACATAAAAACTGGCACATAGACCAATAGAACAGAATAGAAAGCCAATAAATAAATCCACACAAATATATTCAATTAATTTTTGGCAAAGAAGCCAAGAATATGCAATGCAGAAAGGATAGTCTCTTCAATAAATGGGGTTGGAAAAACTGGATAGCCATAGGCAAAATAATGATGCTAGACCCCTATTTTACACTCAAAATGGATTAAAGATTTGAACATAAGACCTAAAACTGTAAAACTCCTGGAAGACATAGTGGGTAAGCTCCTTGACGTTGGTCTTGACAATCATTTTTTTAAAAATTTTGACACAAAGGCAACAAAAGCAAAAATAAATAAATGGGATGACATCAAACTAAAATGCTTCTGCACAGCAAAGGAAACCATCAGCAAAATGAAAAGGCAACCTATAGAATGGGAGAATATGTTTGTAAACCACATATTGGATAAAGGATTAATATCCAAAATATATAAGAAACTCATATAATGCAACAGCAAAAAAAAAAGAAACCCAACAACTCAATTAAATATGGGCAAAAAATGTGTTAGGCATTTCTCCAAAGAAGCCATACAAATGGCTAACAGGTATATTAAAATGTGCTCAACATCACTAATCATCACAGAAATGCAAGCCAAAACTACAATGAGCTATTGCCTAACACCTGTTAGTATGTCTATTATCAAAAAGAGAAGATAACAAATGCAGGAAGGATGTAGAGAAAAGGGAACGCTTGTGCACTGTTGGTGGGAATGTAAACCGGTACAGCCACGTTGGAAAACAGTATGGAGGTTTTTCAAGAACTTCAAATAGAACTACCATATGATCCAGCAATCGAAATCTGGGTAAATATTCAAAGGAAATGAAACTGTTATTTGAAGAGATATCTGCACTCCCATGTTTGTAGCAGCATTAGGCACAATAGGCAAGGTATGAAAACAATGTTAAGTGTCCATGAATAGATGACTGGATAAAGAAAATATGGTGTCCATATATACAGTGGAATAATATTCAGCCTTAAAAAGAAAAGGAAATCCTGTCATTTGTGACAACACTGATGAAACTGGAGGACATTTGGCTAAGTGAAATAAGCCAGACTGAAAGACAGATGTACATGATATCACTTATATGTGGATTCTAAAAAAAATTCAATTAAAAAGTTGAGCTCATAGAAACAGAGAGTAGAATGGTGGTTGCCAGAGCCCTGGAGGGTTAGGGTCTGGGGGGAGGGGAGTGGGAAAAATAGGGAGAGGCTGAAAAATGGTACAAACTTTCAGTTATAAGTTGAATAAGTTCTAGGAATCTAATATATAACATGGTGAATATAATTGATAATTCTGTACTGTATAATTAAAATTTGTAAAAGAAATACTTGTGTTTCACTAACTCCACCCCCAACAAAAAAGTTAATATGTAAGGTGATGGATATGTTAATTACTCCATAGTGTTAATAAACTCCATAACTTTGAATCTTTTCAAAATGGTTATGTATATCAAATCATCACACTGTACACTTTAAATATATTACAGAGTTTTTTGATCAATTATACCTCAATAAAGCTGAAAAAATATATACCTGTTAATACTGATGAAAAAAGATTGTAAATGGAATAAAAACTCAGATATTATAGATGCTTTTTTTCAGAGAGACATAAATCAATAGTGAATTGTCTGTTCTAATTATATAATCAAACCCAAGATTCCTTTGAAAGTTAATGAGACACTATTAATCATTACCCAAAGACAGCAGAGTTAAACTTGGGCTATGCCAGGCAAATGGGGTTGTATGTGGATACTAAGGGTCAGTGAAATCCTGGTATTATTCACATAACACATAATTTAATAAAGTCTAATAAAGTTTATTTTTTCTGAAAAATCCACAATTTGGATTGTGGATTTGAAAAGTATTTTTTGAATACTTTTTGAAATATTTGAAACATATTTGAAACATTTGAAAAATATTTCTGGTGATAAAAGTTAAACATCTATTACTAGAAATAAATATTTCTGTTTTTAGAGGAAGGGAATACCAGATAAGCTTGCATATCGGTTTCTTAAAAATATTTAAACAAAAATATAATTTTAATAAGATTTCTAGTCTTAACACTAATAATCAAATTTGATTCTCTATTTCATAATTTAGGACTGCACATCCATCCCTTGTATGAATGAAGGCTTCTGTCAGAAGGCAGCCCATGGCTTTACTTGCATTTGCCCAAATGGTACATATTGTGAAGTAAATGTTAGCAGTTGTACTGAGCATGATCTGAATGTGGTCCTCTGCCTTAACAGAGGGATATGTTTTGATGGACCTGGACACACTTTTTATTGCAGGTCAGTATTTATTTATCCACAAACAACTACATATGTATTTATGAAAGCTTGTAAACATCCCTCTAATAATGCACTCTGAAATGCAGAAACTAAGTTTTAAGTAAGTTTTTGTCTTTAGAAGTGTAATCCCAAATTTGAAATCAATTCTAAAAAAAAGCATTGCTTATATATTTTACCAAATACCATGTATTCATATCAACCCCAAGTCAAACTCCCAAATTTAATCAACCCTTATTTTGTAACTTTCATATCTCCTCTCTTTCCCAGAATTGGGTTCTTATTCCCTTTCTTAAATATTACACCATATGAATGATTTACAAATAGTTCATATTTATAGCATGTTTCTTAACCAGAGATTCATTTGCCTTCTAAGATCTTAACAATTATAATTTTTTTTTATTTTAGATATATAGAAACAAATTAATCTGTCACTGTATTTTTAAACCAATTATTATTTAAGGTATCTTTTTAAAATTCCTAGGAGATGAATTTTCATTATCTTTGTCATTTATGATTATGTAATATATATAATTGGTTGGTCATTTGAGAATTTAGTCATTATCTTTTCAATTTGTAAAGTTTAATTGAACCCAGGTATGTAAAATCACCCTCACTTTACCTCTTTTCTTCTGTCAGTCTGATTTGTGAGAAGTTGAGGTTAAGTTAAAAACTGTGAGCAACTGTGTCTCTGTCAAAATATCTTAAATTACTGAAAGGTTGACCATGTGTATTTTGCAACATAATTATTCAATAGTAAAGTTTATTATTATTTCTATATTTTATCAGTTATTTCTCTTTAAATTATTAATATAATCTGCCTTATATTCAATACTGCCACTTCCATATTTTTTTGTTCAATATCTACGCTGTGTTCTTGGCCTTTTATTTATTTTAAACCCTGCTGTATCATTTTATTTGGGCTGTATTTCTAACAAGGCACACATAGATGTTAGTTTCACATAAACCTAAGATTATTATCTTTCTTTTAGCATATGCACATAGTATTTATTACTATGACACAGGTTTTCTTTGTTACATATTGCCTGATGTGCCATTTTCATTACTAATGTGTGTGTGCGTGTGTGTGTGTGCGTTACCTCGTATTTTGTATTTTTGAGCTTGGATTTTGCTTATTTTACTCTGGCGGTTTATAAAGTATAGAAAGTAAACATATTTCTAATATCAAGGTTAATTTCAAATAATGAAATTATACAAATGATCACTTTGCCACAGCAAGCTCCCTCCAGGTTATAACCTAATCAGCACCTGGATTAAGCCAGCAACAGTACATTGACCATTTATCCTCAGTAAATATAATGTTACAAATCAAGATTCCATTCATGGAAACCCATTATGGTAAATTGAAAAATTAGAAATAAGTGAACCTAAAGCTAAAAATGTATGTTTTTACAACATGAGTAGTATTTGTTAAATCAAGCTCTATAAAAGCTACTCTATCATTGTTCCTTTGGGGGAATATTATCCATGGCTAGTTAGGCTGACTTGCTTAAGGTGTGAAGCTGACAGAATTTGGAATGAAGACACTTGCCTCTTCTCCTGGGCATCTCCCAGGGGCAAGTGTCAGCATTCATTATTGCTACACTGTTATTCAAATACATTTAAAAGAGTCATCTGTTTTCAAAATTTTCACTGCTGATTCAAGCTGCGTGTAATCCCCTGAAAGTCTGTGAAAGGTAAGTGCCTGGGAGGTGCAGATTCTAGGGGACTTGCACAGTGACTGAGTGGAGCCATCAGAGGTGGTTCCAGGTTAGCACAGTCTTCAGACAGTCCCTTTACAAAAGAAAACTCATACACTATGGGAAGGAGAGTTTTGAATGTTAAGTCATCAGATTTGTATGTGGGTTAAGAATTAGCTTTTGATATAGTTATTTAAACCATAATAAAATAATGATTTTTTTTACTTTAATAATATATCAAATTTATTGTTTTTATCCCTATTTTGCATTCTTCAAGTTGAATTTAAAGAATCTTACTCTTAAAAATGTGATCAACTATATATATTTTTTTGTCTGTGCTCATTTTCCTTCAACGTTTATATAAATCAGAGTTAACGTCTTGGTTCTCACTGCTGGTTTATTTGTTAATCAGCTCACAAATTTTTGTTTGATTTTAATTGGGAAAATAGTTATCCAAACCTATAAATTTTCACTTTAAGAATATTTATCATGAAGTCTTTTTTGTTTTGTTTTGTTTCGTTTTTGATTTTTTTTATGGTACACGGGCCTCTCACTGCTGTGGCCTCTCCCATTGCGGAGCACAGGCTCCGGATGCTCAGGCTTAGCGGCCATGGCTCACGGGCCCAGCTGCTCCATGGCATGTGGAATCTTCCCGGACTGGGGCACCAACCCGTGTCCCCTGCATCGGCAGGTGGACTCTCAACCACTGTGCCACCAGGGAAGCCCGTGAAGTCTTTTTTTGATGTAAAGTTCCTTATTAAAATATTTCAGCCCTCAATGATCTGTAGAATATTCTATATGATTGGTTCCCTAGTGATTTTAGGAGAACAAATTTTCTTCCAATTGAAATCCATGTTTGTAATTACATCTGAAAAAAAGAGTGTATTACCATTTCAAATTTCCTGGAAAATCTGAAAATGTCGACCTAAAATATCTTGTGATTTTGGCTTCACATATGAATTAGAACTTGGTGAAGTTCACACTTCTTAGAGCTTATGTTGACTGAGGATTATGCATTTGATGCTTTATTTTGCTTTCATCTCTGTCACTGCAGAAAATACAGCAGAGAATGGCCTACTTTCAAGAATATTATGTTTTGTGAATGTAATTGATTCATTTCCTTCTTGGAAGCTGACATGGTTTTTAACTTCTTTAATTAAAAAAGATTTGTGAAATATTTATCCCAATGACTGGCAAGTTGAGAACTTACAATTTAATCCCTTTCCCTTTTATCTTTGATGTTTAAGCATTTAATTGGAATATGCCATGTTATATATTTTTCATTTATTCATGTCTGGAAAGTTTTCTTGTATTATTCCTCTATTATTCTTTTGTGCATTAATACTGGTTCACTAATTCTTCTTCAGGTACTAATATTGGTTACATATTGCAAATCACAAATTTAAAACTGGTTTTCATGCATTTCACTCTTTTTTGTATCCTTTTTAAAACTTTCTGTTCAATTCTAATATTTACTTCTCAACCTCTTATCTGTCTTTCTGAATTTTTTTCTTATGAGAATATTATTTATTTTCTTCTACTTTTCAGTGCATGTGAACTCTTAAATAGGTATTTTATTTCATTGTAAATGTAATGCCCACTTAAACCATATTATTATTTTCTGTTTATAAAGTAATTTATTTCAAGTGTTCAATTTTTCAGTCATCATTACAGAATTTTTTAAGTTGATTCAGAGTCTCAGTTACTAACATTTATATGGCTACTTTATTGCTGTTATCCAGATGTCTTGTAAGACCACTTTCATATCCCAACTATAGTGGCCAGATTCTTCTTCCTTGAATCACTCCTGTGTCTACCAGACAGTTGTAAGTGAGAGGCCTGACCCGTTAAGTCCTGGAGAGGAAGCTCTGAGCAGAGGTGCACCTGAGGGAGCCTATTCCACTACATGTGCCATGGCTGCTTAGACCTAGGGTGAAATTGCTGAGCATGAAGTGTGCATTTAAACATCTCCACGTTACTATTCTGATTTTAATTATTGGGCTTCTCCAGGTCCAAGGTGTGTTAGATTTCTAGTGTGTTCATCACTGATTTTTCTCATGAAGACATTCGATTATTTTAGATTATTTTATAATTGCAACAATGATGTATAATGAGTAGCTAGTATTAATTCATCTTCCTGAAGTAGTATAGTAGTTAAATTCTGAAAGGCATAGACAGTCTTTCAATAGAAAATAAAAGAATGAAAAAAGAAAAAGGATTACTTAAACCTGAAGACAGTAAAATGAATAAGCCAGTGATATATAGCTAGTTTCCTCATTACTGTGAACAAATAATATAGGTGATAGTGCTTTGAATACTGACATAAGTAAGTTAACCATTTCAAGCAAAATAAGTTAACATTAGTTTTAGATAAACCATTACTGGGCTGTTAGGTGCATAGTAATATTAAATGTTCAAGTAAATTCTATATCCATACTTCGGAGATCATTTCTGGAGAAATGAAAGGGCATTTCAAACATCAAAACTTATTTTTACTAATATATGTGTTAGGCAGTTCAGACTCTTCAGTGAGTAAATTTATATTGCCCAATGAAGAGATATCAAATTAACAACATGAATGTTTAAAATACAGAGAAAAACGTGATTGACAACTGATGACATTTTTAAAAATTTTTGCAATTCACACACTATATTTGTTATCTAAAATAAATGAAAATATATTTTTGTTCAGAAAATACAATATCTTAAGATTGCATTTCTAGTCTTAAATGCAAATGGATGTTTCTTATTTACTCATTGAATTTTAGGGCTGAAGAAGATTATAGAGATAGATGAAGACACAAAGTCCCGAGGTTTATATTCTGTCAACTGCCTACAGTCACGATTACTGGGAAAGTACATACTAGAATCCAATGCATTACTCTTTTATTTTTATTAAAGTACTTTTTAATTTAAAATAAAAAATATAACAGATACAGTAAAAATATATGGTAAAAAAAAGAAGAAACATACATAGTCAGATATCATTACTATTCTCTAGATGCAGTTAGACGTCTGTTTTGTACTTTACATCCTGGTGCAAAGTTTAAAGACATTAATGACTTTGTTGAGTTTAATAATAGCTACTTTCAGAAGTCCATAAGTATTATTAACCATTTGTAACAGTTTAATAGCATTTTAATGTGTTCAAGTTTTATTAAAACATAAGAACTATGTTGAAATTACACTAAAATACAGATTGGAATCACACAGCAGGGGACTATAGAAAGAAGTAAAGACAATATACATAACTTATTTCTCTGGCACCATGTAGATTGTAAAGAATATAGCAAATAATTTATA